TAGGGAAAGGCTCCCCCAGAAGGAATGGGGTGAGCCAAGAGCACACAGCCAGTAAGGAAAAACCTGGACCAAGCCCGGGTCTCCCGAATCCCAGCGCAGCACCTGCCCGTTCAGTATTCATTCATTCAGGTCTTTTTTGAGCATCTCCTGTGAGCCAGGTTCTAAGTAGCCCATGGAACGGTGGTGGACCAGACCCTACCTCCCAGCTGAGCTCCCTTCACACCATCACCCCAGGCAGCACTCCTGGGCAGCAGTGTTTAGCCTCTTTCCAGCTCTGACACATGTAACCGATGACATGCACACATGTGACGAGGTCTCTGGATGTACCAGAGGATCACGCCACGCCCCACGTGTGGCACGTTCTTCTGACATGCCACTTTCATCATGTGACTCTCCCTCAGCCCCTGTCCTCCCCTTCAGGGACGCACATCTGAATGCAAGTCAGAGGAGAGATGTCACCCTAGGGATAACCTGGACTCCGAGCTCATTTGTTCAAAACCCAATTAATTATTCTCCAACTGGAGAACTTTAGCAGTGACAAAGCATGAGTGACCGTGAGGCACCGTGTGCCAGAGGGGCACCAGGTCCTGTCCCCTTTTCTGGGTGAGATAATCTTGGGGCTCGTAGCCCAGGGTGAGGGGAGCCCACAGGTGTGCTCAGGGCCCAGCCGGTCGTCTGATGGAAACGGAAAGGGGGTGGGTGTCACCACCTGAGCCCCTGCCCCCACAGAGCCTCAAAACAGAGAGAAGTCATGAGTCCAGGAGCCTCAAGGCTTCTGCCTGTGAGGACCAGGGCCACCGAGTGAGGAGGGAGACTCAGAGGGGAGTGGGAGTGGCATAGGCAAGAGCACAGGAGTCTGGGCCAAGGTTCAGAGGGGCGAGTCTCTGTGCAGGGGTGGCCGGCGAGTGAGGGGAGGGTGTGGAGCCTGAGCCCCAGCCGCCCTGGCTGCACTCTCTGCCTCTCTGTCTCTAAGCTCCTGGAAAGACAAGACCTAGCCAGTCACCACTGCCTGCAAACAGCACACTCCTAGTGAGTGCTTGCTGAAAAAGAGGCTGTCTGGGTCAAGTCCGCTTACTAGCTAAGTGAGCTTTGGCAAACTCCTTAACTGCTCTGTGCCTCGGTTTCTTCATCTGTACAATGATAATAGAAATAATAGTCCTAAGTTCAGAGGATTGCAGCCAGAACTAAATGACCTAATATATGAAAAGAACTTAGGACAGTGCCCAATGCCCAACCGTACCGTGAACGGCAGGCTTCGTTATTATTACAGCCCTGCCCTAGTGCAGGAAGCGGGTGGGGGCAAACTCACCTGTTGCCCTGGATGGGTTTGTTGTTAACTGTTTTCCACTCAGATGATCCTGCCTCCCGGGAGTAGATATAATAACCCAGGAGCTCTGGGCTGTCTTTCACAGGATCCCAGGTCAGGGAGACAGAGGTCTGTGTGTCTCGGAAAGCTTGAACTTGAGTTGGAGGAGGGAGAGTGGCTAAAAATCAGAAGTGTGGACTGAGTGAAGATGCTGAGTTACACGGCTGGGGAGGGGGAGGGGGAGGCGTGTGGGAGAGGCGGGGAGGTGCGCACATGGCAATCAAGGGGGGGCACGTGCGTTGCAGACATGCCCTGGGCCTTTGGGCAGCTCTTTCCTAGTCCCAGAGGTGTCCTCCAGACTCTTGTATTCTGAAAGTCTTCTCTCATCTTACCTCCAAACATCTCTGCTTCCTCACTAAAATCCCCATTCATTAATCCTACTGTCGCTCTATCTCTCTTAGAAGTCACCAGATCTGACAATTTTCCTCAGCCTTATCTTTGATCTCTAGGAAACTTCATTTTATTTCCCTTGAAACTTTAACTTTCATGGCTCCCTGAGACTATGCTCCTTGAGGTAGGGTTTGCCATGATGTGTTAAATGGACAGATCTGGATGGATGGATGGATGGATGAATGGATCAATAGACTAATGGATGGACAGGTGGATGAATAGATGGTTAGATGGATGAAAGGATGGATGGATGGATGTCAGATAAAGGACCTTCCTAGTTCTCTTTTTCCTTCTCAAACTCCTTACACGTCCTTTTGTGGCTCCCCCTCTTTCTTGTTTTAGTTTTTTTTTTTTTTGCGGTACGCAGGCCTCTCACTGTTGTGGCCTCTCCTGTTGCAGAGCACAGGCTCCGGACGCGCAGGCTCAGTGGCCATGGCTCACAGGCCTAGCCGCTCCGCGGCATGTGGGATCTTCCCGGACCGGGGCACGAACCCGTGTCCCCTGCAACGGCAGGCAGACTCTCAACCACTGCGCCACCAGGGAAGCCCTCCCCCTCTTTCTTTTGTCCGCACATGTGGGACTCCTCCAAGCGTCTGTCCCTTGACTTGCTCCATTTTTCTCCTCTTTTCTCATCTCAAGTGTCCACCTATTCCCATGTCTTCAACCCTCGCCTCTCTGCAGGCAACTCCCCAGGCTTTACCTCCAGGCCTGCTCTCTCTCCTGAATTCTAGAGCCTCATCTTCCATTTTTCCCTGGACACCTCTCCTTGTGTTCTGGTGGTGCCTCCAAGTCAACAGGCAGAGGCTGAACTCAGCATCAATCTAACATAAATCCAGTAACTACTGAGTGCCTGCTCTGAGCCAGGCTCTGCATTTGGCCCAGGGGAAGCACACTGAGAAACAGACTTGGGGTCCCGGGCTCAGGAAGGTCCTGTCAGCAACTTCAGCCTCTCAGGTTGAAGACAGTGTGACAGTGGATGAAGGCTGGGTGGTGGGAGAGGGTAGAAGGAGGGCACTCAGGGGCCCCATGTGTCCAAGAGACATGATTCTACCCGTAGGCAAGAACTTGAGCTGAGAGCATCCATGTATGGAGTAGTACTCACACACTGACGTCATGATTTCAAGACCTGAGGATATGTTTGTGGTATAATGTTAATTGTAAAAGGTAGAATGCAAAGCTCTACACGTGGTCTGATTGGACTTTCAGAAAGATGCATTGGCTTGCATGCGTCAAAGGCCAGAGGCCCAAGCGCCTAGATGTTCACAGTGGTTAACCTTGGTCAGCGGGATCCTGGGGTGGAGGGAATTCTCTTCCCTCCCTCCCTCCCTCCCTCCCTCCCTTCCTCTCTCTCTCTCTCTCTCTCTCTCTCTCTCTCGCTTCTTTTGTATTTTCCCATTTTTGTACAATGACTTCACTTTCATAATACAAGTAAATGCCTTTTCTATTTCCTCCCCTCCCCTCCTCTCTCTTCTTTTCCCCTCCTTCCCTTCTCCGAACTGTACCAGAACCTTGCCCTAAGGCTGCCTTGTTGTCCAGAGACTGCCCACATCCAATCACAAACCAGTCACTGGCCAGGCCCCTGAGTCAAAACTAAATGTTAACCAGACCAGAATTAAAGAAAAACTCCATTTGCCCACCAACCTATTTATACTTACTATGAATATATATATATATATATATATTTCCTTTTTCTACATTATTGAAACAGTACAAATCTAGGACTTTGAAATCTTCCCCAAACAGGCCTTGCAGCATATCAGGCTCTTCTCAGATGGGCAGTGCTACAGCTGGGTTCCTTAAAGGACTAGTTGGTGATGGCAGCTGCAGGGAACCTTCTGATCTTATCAGAATCCAGAGGCCTGAGAGGAGAGAGGGAACCCCGGGAAGTCAGGACCAGGATGGAGCTGCCACTGGGAGACTCAGGAAGGAGCCACAGGTGGGGGCGATAACCAGGCCTTCAGAACAATGGGTTTGGCAGGTGAGGACACCAAGGTTCGCAGCTCAGAAATGACCTGCCCAGGCCCACGCTGTGCTGCAGATGAGAGAGGTCCCACCCGGTGAGGTGGATTGGGGTGGGACCAGGGAGAGGGCCGGAGGCCTGCCCAGGGGCTCACTACTGGCTGCACAAGGTGGGGTCAGGCCCTGGCTGGAGATGTTTAGAACTGAGGGACCACTTGGTCACACTCAGATCCTGTGCTGGACCTGGCTGGATTCTGCAACCTGTGAATTGTTGATCTAGAAAAAATGTCTATTTCCAAGAGCCTCTTGCCCAGAGAAATGTATCAATAATTCTTGATGGTCTAAAATTTTACAGGCCTGTGATCATGTTGCTTTTCAACTTCGTGATAGGTAGAGGTGGTCAAGGACAGAAAAATGGGCATGGCTCTGTCCCTGCAGCCATGGGGTCCCGAGCCCTGGACGCTGACAGCCTGGCCTGGCCTGGCCTGGCCCCATCTCCTGCATCACACAGGTACCTGGCTTCCCCCTCAAGGCGATGGGCTCGCTGGGCTCCGAGGGATCGCTCATGCCGTACTGGTTTATCGCTCGCACTCTGAAGACATACGACTTCCCTTTCTCCAGATCCAAAAGGGCGAATCTCGGGGATTTCACAGGCGTTTCTGAGTTGATGGCCTCCCAGGTGCCACTACCTATGACCGACTGTGACAAGGGAGAGAAACTTGCCTTTGGTTAAGTGGTTGCCTTCCCACATGTGCTCTCACTAACTTCTGTCCTTGGCCCAGGCTGCCCCTCAACACCTGAACTCTGGATCCACCTGCCTCCATGACGTCTCTACCTGGATGCCCATCGAGCATCTCACATTCAACAGAACTGATCCTGGAACTTGCCCCCTTGCCAATGCAGCCCACATCGAGTTAGTGGCACCCATCCTTTCAGCTGCTCAGGCCAGAACCCTGGGAGCCATCCTGGACTCTTTCTCTCATTTCTCATCCCCCGAAGATGCTCTGTCAACAAACCCAGTTGGCTCTACCTTCAAAATTTATCCAGAGTCCAACCATGGCTTATCACCCTCATGCTCCCCTCCACAACCTTGATCCAAGCCACCATCGTCTCTCACCTGAGTTATCTCAATAGCCTCCTAACTGGTCTGCCTGTTTCTACCTTTAACTCCCTTCAGTCTTTTCTCCAAATGACAGGCAGAGGCATCATTTTACAACACAAGTCAGATCACATCCATGTCTGCCCAGAGCCCTCCCAAGCCCCGCATCTCCCTCAGAGTGAAATTCTCCATGGCTTGACTCCTGCCACCTGTCTGGTCACATTCCATGCCCCCCTTTGCCCACTCACCAGGCTCTGTGTCCCCCTGCTGTTCCTTGATGGTACCAGGCCCAATCCCTGCCTCTGGGCCTTTGCACTTGCTGGTCCCTTTTCTTGGAATGTTCTTCCCCCAGAAATCTCTGGTTTGCCCCTCATTTCCTTTGGGTCTTTACTCAAAACTCACCTTCTCAGGGTGGCCTCCCCAGCACCACCCCCCATATGAAAGGTCAGCAGCCCCTCCCTCAACACTTCAAATCCCCTCCATGCTGTCTGTCTTTCTCCTAAGCTCCTACCATTAGCAAATATGCCAAATACTTTTCGGATTCATCTTCTTTGTCATCCATCCCCCACCCCCTACTCCAATCTCAGCTCTGGAGGCAGGAGTTTGTCTGTTTTATCCACCACTGAGAACAGTACTGACGCATGAGAGGTGCTCAGTCTATGTTTGTGGGATGAATACATGAGTAAATGGATGAATTCTCACAATAACTCTGCAAAGTAAGGGTTAATTTCCCCACCAATGAGGAAATTCAGGTTCAGGAAGTTTTGGTAACTTGGCCAAAAGTCACGCAACCAATAGCTGGCATATTTGGTATTTAAGCTCAGGTGTGGGTACCCCCAAACCTGCTCATTCTACACAGCATCAGGGGCCCCAAAGGCAGCCATAAATCCTGTGTCTCTGGGTAGATAGAGGGTGAAGAGCCGAGGGTGATGCAGGTTAATAAGGCACCCAGAGGCCACTTCTGCCGAGTCTGGGTGTGAGAGTTAAAACCTAGAAGCCCTGGGGGGACCCACTGACCCTGCCCTCTCTGTGCTTTTCCCTCCCAAGGCCCACCTGGCTGTCAGTAGCCTAGAACCCAGGTAGGCTAAGAAATCGCTACAAAAACCAAGGAACATGGCTGAGCACCCCCTGTGTGCCAAGCTCTGTTCTAAGTCTTGACGTCCTTTAGTTAGTGATTTAGTTAGTGATTCTCACATCAACCCTTTAAGATGTACAATTATTATGTCTATTTCATGGAAGAAGAAACTGAGGCACAGAGAGGTTAAATTTCTTGCCCAAGGTCACACAGCTAGTAAGTAGCAGAGACAAGATTAGAACCCAGGCAGCCTGACTCCAAGGTCTTAACCATTATACTCTGTAGCCTCACAAAACAAATCCTCCATTATCCATGGCTTCCCCATGTCAGAGAAATAGGATCACCTGTGAATGTGCAGAGAGGCCCATCTGAACAACGAGAGCCACAGACTCTTCCCTGGAACCTTTTTATTCCTTGATTCAGTAAACCTGTACTGTCCACCTGCCATGTGCCAGGCACCGTGCTGGACCCAGCGAGTAATGAGAAGGTAAACCTGGTGTCTTCCTTTAGGGGGATCAGAGGCAAGAGCATCCCCTTGGGAAGGGTTCACAGTCCCAGGGCTGTGGGCCCTGGCTATGTGCTGCTTTTATTGCATCTTCACAGGTAGGGTCTCCATTCTATGCTGGAGGAAACTGAGGCTCAGAGAACTTAGCAAAGGAACTCAGACATCAGAAGTCAGGAATGGAATGGATCTTAACACCATATGCTCCTTTTTCCTCTGCCACAATGCCTCCCCTCCACTGTGAAATCCATTTCACATGAGCTGCCCCCCTCCCCAGTCTCCTGCCCCTACTCTGCCCCCAGGGAGAACCGCCTCCTGGTGCTACCCACCTCCCACCCCCCCATGCCCTGTATGTGCTGTCCGTCAATGACCCTGGCAGGTGGGCACCATCCTGGCTTCCCTCCCACCCTGGCCCTGGCCAAGGTTAGGTGTTCGACCCAATGTGTGACCAGGTGCCAGACAGACTTGGGGTGTGGGTGTACGCAGGACATGGTGGATCTACTGTTGTTATTGTCTGTGTCTCTTAATTTTGTGTATTTCTGTGAACAGCTTCCGGAACTGCCATCAGTAACTGGCCTCTCAGGGCTGGAGGTAACCTCGAAAGGTCATTTAATCCACCCGCCTGCCTCAGGGCTACGCTCAAGCCTTCCAGGCAGGAAATTCTCTTCTCTTCAGGCCTCCCCAGGGGACACTGCCGGGGTCTCCCAGCGCCTCCCTGAACACCCCGCCACGTCCTGGTAACACAGCACGTCTGTTTCTCAGGCCGGCCTAGGGCTGGGGCCCTTGGGGTCTCCGTACCTTCTCCAGGAAGTACGTCAGTGGGGCTTTGCCCTGGGGTCTTGGCTTCTCCCAGCCCAGAACTACATAGGCCTCGTGGATCTCGCTGGCGTGGACATTGGTCGGGGGCGAGGGGATGGTCACAAAGTCTGGAATCAGAGCCATCCGGGCAGGAGATGTGTGGGCCGTCGGAGACCCCAGATCTCAGCCCCTCACTTCATTGAGGAGGGAACTGGGGTCCAGAGAGGGGCAGGAACTTGCTCCAGTCACCCAGCAAGGCCGGGCAGAGCCAGGGCGAGAGCCCAGGTCTCCCCACGTCCTGCCGGGACTTTCCCCGACGTCTACTTACTCCATGAGGGGCGCAGTCGCCCACCAGAGAGCCTGGCCCCTCAGCCTGGATGCTACCCGCTCTCGCCTCCCCACACCCTGCACACGACAGCTTCTGCCTCTGGGTTCAGTTTGTGGCCCAGAGTTTCCAGAACCGCAAAGGGGGCTGGAGTCTTGAGGCAAAGTGTCAGGAGGTTCACACGTACCTTCAGAATCATCTGTGCTGACCGTGATCGTTTTTCCTGTATCAAAGGGGATCTCTAGTGGAGGGAAGGGAACATGTTAGGGGAGAACTAAGGGGTGCAGCGTGTGTGTGGTGGGCGGGCTCAGCAGGCGACAGGGAAGGGCCTGCCCCACTCTGGGTGCTGATTCCTCCCCGGCTCCTGGTCCTGGCATTCCGGCCCCTCACTGTGTGTCCTCAAGCAGGGCCATCTGGGCCCCAGCGATCTCAGCGGTCCAAAGTGCAGCACTGCTGCTCTTGGACGCCAAAGATGCTCTGTCCTCTCAGGACAGAGAGAAGTGATGGGGTCAGATCCCTAGGGCACAACAAACCCAAATCAGGCTGACTCCTCAGAGCTGAGAGGGCTGTGTTCCCCCTGCCGTCCAGGCTGGGGCCTTCTGAGGCAGGACGGTTTTCCTCCTTCAGATTAAGGGCATCTGAAGAGGATGCTGTGGTTTTACCCCAGATTAGCATCCTGTGTGGACAGGTCTGTGTTTCTTCCATCAGACGAGCTGTACCTTCCCCCTCCAGCTAGGGGTTGCTAAGGACAGCACTGTGACCCCTCCATCAGATTAGGGGCTCCTGAGGGCTGGGCTGTGTCTCCCCTCCTGGATCAGGGCTTCGCATGGAGGCTGTGCACCTGTCTCCTGCGTGAGGCAGTCCTGAGTATGCCCTGACTGATGCTCTGGAATGTCCCTGCAGGGCCTCTGTGCCCACCTGTCTTCTTCCGGGCTTCCTCAGGGTCTCCCATGGCAACCGGTTCTGAAGCCTTGGAGGGGATGCTGCTGCCCGCTCTGCTGATGGCTCTCACCCGGAACCGATAGCTCTGGCCTTCGACGAGGCCTTGGATTGGGCACCGACATGTCCCGCCGGGGGCCTGGTGGCAGGGCACCCATTGGTCGGACTCGCCCTGGCACCTGTGGGAGAGAGGCCCCTGCTGCAGCCCCTGCCCACGACTCACATCTTCCCAGGGTGAACCTCTTCCAGGGCCCTTCCCCCGCCCTGGGCTGCCGGCCCAGCTCATCTCTCTCCATTTAAAAGCCCGGCTCCAGGCTCCAACCTCGTGCCCCAGGAGGCCTTCTCACCACCCTCCACCAAGCATGATGCTAATCAAAATAGCTGGTGCCTTACATGGAGCTTTCCTGCGTGCCTGGAGCTGTGCTGTGTCCCTCCGTACCTGTTATCTCGTTTAATCCTGACGGTCCTCACGGTTAGGTGTGATTACCTTCACTCTACCAACGGGATCCGCGTTTAGAGAGTGAGATGACTTGCCCAAGGTCACATGGCTCGTGAGTGGGCGAGTTAGCCTTTCCCCAGAGGGCTGTCCACTCCCTGTCAGAGTGCCTTCCAGAGTGACCCTCGGAGTCTGGGGTCTCTGTGCCCCCCTGGGTGCCACTGTCCTCAGTACTGGCTGGATGGGGCCGTGTACCTCAGTTTCCTCATCTGTAGAATGGGGCACTAGAGAGTCCCCCTCCCCCCTTAGATAGGGATTGTTGTAAGGATTCGAGTGGCTGGATTAGGTTACCTCCAGCTAGCCCCGGAGCCAGCGGCAGGTGAAGGAGGTGGGATGTTCCAGGCCTCCCCTTTCCTGGTGTGCCCCCTCCCTCCCGCGTCAGTGCTACTCTGTCTCCGTCACTCAGGGAGGACAGCATCCACATGTGCTCAGGTTTCAAGCACTGATGTTTGCCCCTCCCAGTGGCAGCTCCTGCTGTAAAGGGTCTAGAGGGCAGCGGCCGACACCAGGGGCAGACACCCTTCTATTGCCCCTAAATAACACATTTACCTCCTGCCCTATTCCAAGGACAGGCAAGGGGGTCCCTCTTTCCTGCGGCCCCCACGCTTATCCTCACAGAGCCATCTACCCCCATGGGCTCTGCCACTGAAGAGACCGACTCACAGCTCAATGGAGTAGCTGGTGATGGGGTTGCCACGGGTGTCGCTGGGCGGGGTCCACGTCAGGATGAGGCAGTCCCTGTTCACGTTCAGGCATCGAACATCCAGGGGGGATCCTGGCGCCCTGGGCTTCTCGGCTGCAGCATCTGAAGCCCGGGGTGGGCGGGGGTGGGAAGAGAGTGGGGGGAGGCTCTTCCCGTCAATGTCCACTTGGCGACAGACCCCCTCCCATTCTCACCCCTCATCCTCTTCTCATTCACCACCCCCCAGGGGCTCAGTTTGATCTCGAGGAGAACGTCCTGAATAACAGCCTCTTCCTTTCAAACAACAGCATCTGGGGGTAGGGGTAGGAGTACCGTTTATTAGGGGCCCATTCTACGCCACACACCTGAACAATTGGTGTAATTAATCTCTGAGTCCCGGCGCAACCCCCCCATCTTGCAGGTGGGAAAACTGAGTCTCATAGAGGAGAAGTGAATTACCCAAAATCAGCCAGCTAGTGAAGTGGCAAAGCCAGGAGACAGAAATCAACCAGGACTAGAATGGCCCCAGCCCACGATCAGCCCTCCCTCTCCAGCTGGCTCCGCGTCTCAGACTCTCAGGCTGTGTCCCTTTGGAGGGTCATGGGATGCACAGGGATTCTTAGAGAGACTCTACCCCAGCACCCCCAATATATAGCATGGAAACCGAGGCCTCAAGGAGCAGGGACTCGCCCAAATGTCCCACAGCAAATCAGTCAAGGCAGAGCCCCGGTCCCTCACCGCCCCCTCACCTCTCACAAACACATAGGCGCTCTGTTCCCGGAGCCCAAAGGGCGAGGGCACCTGGACCGTGTAGAGACCCTCGTCCTCCTTGTAGGCGCAGGACACCTTCAGGGACGCCTGGCGGTCTGCATAGAGGATCTGCCGGCGGCTGGAGGACTTCAGCAGCCTCCCTGCAGAGGGAGGGGTCCAGGGTGAGCTCGTGGGGGATCTGGGCCTCACCTGGGAACCCACAGATGCTCTGGGGGTCTAGGCAGAGGTGAGCTTGGCCTGGCTAGAGCCTGAGGCTCTGCTGGGCAGTTGGGGAGGGGGTGGTGGCCTCCAGGACTCTGCCAAGGTGGCCTCTGAATTCTCCTCTGCAGAAGGCTTGAGGCGGGCAGGGGGTGGCAGGGCTGGGCCCAGGGAAGGGGCTGCGGCTTCAGTGAGGCAATGAGGGTTCAGGGAAGTGGTCAGCGGCTGGGTGAGTGGCTCGCTAAGGAGTCGGAGGTCCTGTGAAGAAGTGGGAACAAGAAAGATGGGGCCCTGTGTGAGGGTCAGGGGCTCTTTGGGGTGCTGGGGGCTCGAGAAAGGAGGTGGGGCTCGGTGGGCAGGGGTTGTGAGCTTAATGGAGGGAGGGGGCCCTGTTGAGGGGGGTGGGGACTCAGGAAAGGGGTAGGGGACTTGCTGAAAGAGTCGGGGTGCCAGTGAGGCGGGTGGGGACTGGGCAGGCGGGACCTTAGTGAGGGGAAGGGGAAGGGGCTCTGGGGCTCTAGGCCTCGCCCTGCGGTCCTGCTGTTGCACCATCCTGCTCTTTGTGCCACGCGAAGGCCCCTCCCTCCTGCCAGCACCTCTGTTCCGGAAGACCTGCAGGTTTAGGAAAGCTCTTGGCCTGTTATCGCAGCTGTTTCTCAGGGCTCGTGGCTTTCCCACTCCTCCACTCCAGCCCCCAGCAGGGGCAGCTTCCCTAGGTTCAAGCTCTGGGGTGTCAAGGGTCTGTACTCCTGGCCCTTTGGCTGCAGGCCTGGTCACGAATGGGGCAGGAAGTCCAGCTGTTCCTCTCCCCCCTGGCTGACCGGCCTTCCCCAGCCCTGGCCCATGACCCCCCGTGTACCTTCCAGCTCACGAGTAGCAGTTATGTACCTGCACCTACAACCCTGACTCTGAAAAGCCCGAGGCAATTGTCACAACCTGCCCTGACGCTCCTCAGGCTGACCTGCCCCTGGCCTTAGCCTCTGTTCTTGTTGCTTCAAATGTCATCACCTACCCCTAGGGTGCTGATGTCGAGCCCATAGATGTAAAGGGCTGGGCTGGTGCCTGGCCAACCACAGGCTCTCAACGGGCAGTGTGCAATTGTGTTTTGGCTTCCTGCTTCCTCCCGGATGGAGAGCCCCTTGAGCTCATGCATGTCTGTTCCTATCCCTGCCCCGGCACCCAGCACAGGGCCTGGCACCACGGGTGCTCGGTGACACTTTGCAGGGTGACTTGATCTGAACCCACCCGGCTGTATTCTGCTTCCCTCTACCTCATCGGCACCCATTGCCCAGCTTGTACCAGCTAGGGGGCGGGCATAGCTGAGTTCCTCTCTCCACCGGGGGCCCCAGGGGTGGGGATGGAGCCAGGGCTCTAGTCCCTCTGTGGCTTCCACCTCTGCCTCTGCAGGTAAGGGGCCAGGACTAGGGGTCCTCACCATCTCGGAGCCACTGGATGTTCTGCTCGGCGTCTAATACATCTTCAGAAAATAGGCAGGACAGGGAGAAGGATTCCTTCTCACGGGCAAAGACTGGTTTCAGCACCGATGTGAATTCCACGTTGGGGCCAAACATCAGTCCTGGGTGGGAACAGAAATTTAGGGCAGAAGTCTTCTGACGCTGCCAGCTCAGCCTGGGGCTTAGATGCGAGTGAGGACCCTTCTGGGGTGTCCCCACTCCTCTGGGTCAGGATTCACAGTTTCGCAGGTGGTGTTAACAAAGAGAAGAGGGGGCCTGATCCTGGGGGCCGGGGTGGGGAAGAGATTTCTCTAGGTGGGACCAGATGAGCTGAAACGGCAAATACTGGTTTGTCTTTTTGGATTTGCCTTTTTCATTCAGTCTTGGCCACTGAGAGTGCAGCAGCTGGAGGCAGCTCTGGGGTGCCTAGGGACCCCAGAAACCAGTCTACAAGTATTAACAGTTTATAGGCAAACCACACGTAGACATCCCTTTGTGGGCAGTGGATAGCTATATTCTAAAGGGGACTGTTGGGGGCCCTGACGAGGAGCCCCAGACACCCACCTCCCTGAAGGCCCATCCCTCCCCCAGCCTCCTTACTTTTAAAGATCTCCGAATCGAAGCCAGCATCCTTCCCCAGGTAAGCTGAAAACCCAGAGCAAATGCAGAAGGCTCAGAGCCCACGTTCCTCCTGGATTTTGGAGGCATGGCCTTTGGTCATGGGTTTGAATCCTGATCTGGCAGTGGCTCCCCCTTCAGCTTGGGGAAAGTTCCCTAGCGTTTCTGTGCTTCAGTTCCTTACTGACTCCTCCCTGATGGTGGTGGTGGTGGGGTTCTGAATACAGCCCTCAGCAGGAACCTGGCATACAGTCAGTGCTCAATAAATGGCGGTTTCCTTCCTTTACCCAAATCCACCGCCAGAATCACAGTCCTACAGGTGGAGCCTGGTCAAACTGGGATTTCTGGTGGGTCCAGGGCAGCGCTAAGAGAGCCTCCTGGAGGCTTCAGGGTGAAGTCCAAGGTGGTGTGGACACGGACCACCAGGGGATAGTGAGAACAGTTTTTATTTACATAGCGTGTACCACGTGCCGCTTATTAACTCGTTTAATCCACAGCAGCCTTGTCTGTTGTTGTCATTATTATCCTCTCGTACAAATGAGGAAACTGAGGCATAATCACCTAGCGAGCACCCCAGCAGCCTGAAGCCAGGACATGACACTGGTCCCTGGGATGGCCTTGATGGAGGAGGGATGGGGATATGTGGATGAAATGATGGGAAGGATGGGCGGACAGAGGAAGGCAGGGCCCAAGGGCCCAATCGACTCTGGGCACTGCCTGTAGGGACGGCTCAGATTCTACCCAGAGAGCCTGGCCTGGCAGTGTGGACAGCTGCCTACCAAGAGCGATTTGGGGAACAGGGCAGAAGGGTGGAGAGGCTGTGAAGGACAGTTTAAGAAGGTCTGATGAGAGGCAGGGAGGTGGGGACTAGACTCCGGCCTGTGTGCTGCTCAGTGTGTGTGTGTGTGTGTGTGTGTGTGTGTGTGTGTGTGTGTGTGTGTGTGTGTGTGTGTGTGTGTGCGCACGAACCCACACACGTGCAGCTTCTCTCTCGGGGCCCTGAGGGCAAAGCCTTGGGTTCAAAGGTGTGGCCTTCTGGGCTGGGCTCGGCCCTGGCCATGGGGTCGGGGGAGGGAGGGTTAGCCTTCCCCCCAAGAGCCTGATCCAGCCAAGTTTTACCTAAACCATCTCATTTAATCCACAGGAGTATCTGAGGGAGGCGGTAGGTTGCCCCCTTTGCAGGTGGGGAGGTCAGGTAAGTAAGACGGCACCCAGGCTCACGCGGCCAGTCAGCGCCAGAGGCAGCATGTGGACGGGGGCCTGGCAGAGTCCTGTGTCTCCTCTGCCTCCTGCTGTGATTAACCTCCAGGAGGGACCTGAGCCCACTGGGGAATATGCACCAGAAGCCAAAAGGGGCAGTGGGGGTCAGGAGGGGACTTGGTAGGACTCGGCCTTTGCCCCTGAGGACCGCTGGTAGCCAGGCCACCCTCCCAGAGGCCCTGAGCTGGATCTGGACCCAAGCCCAGCTCGATGGGATGAGCATGCTCTTTGGGGACAGGCAGGTGGGGTCCCCTTGAACAGGGTTGTAGGTTGTACAGTCTGAGGGCGGAGGATCTCACTTGCTCTGAAGGCCTGGGGGAGCGGGAATCCCGGTGGCTGCTCTGGTCACCTGATCCCAGACCAAATACCCCTGGGCTGAGGGTCCCTCCCCGAGTCTGACGCAGACTCATGTCCTCATCTGCTCATCTGGGGTTTGCTGTGGGCTTTCTGGCCTGTTGGTGATGGCAGGACTCACTGCGGACAAGGACTTTGGCAAAGGAGGAGGCCTGGCCGTAGGCGTTCTTGACCATCACTGTGTAGGTGGCTGCGTCCTCAGTGGTGCATCTGAAAAGGAGGGAGGGAGATGTTCCCCCCGAGATGGCTGGGCTCCACGGGAAACTCAAGTCCCCGTGCAGGTGGGGTGTCGGGGGAAGGGGGGGTTAACAGGAAGGCCTGGGGGAGGACTTTAGGCTCTAGGTCAGGGCCTGCCTCCGAGAAGCTGGGCGCCTTTGGGCTGCCACTGTCCCTCCCCACGCCTCCAAGTCCTCCTTTGAAAATCTCGGGACGTAACAGCAGCCTAAACCACCTCAGGTGAAAGTGCTTTGAAAATATGATTGTTATCAGAACACTTAAGCTAAGTGACTTGTCCAGAGTCCCAGAGCAATTGGAATTCAACCGAGCTTCGAGGTGACGAGCCCTCCCCCAGGCACGGCCTCTGGCCCTATCAACACCTCCAGAGCAGAACCCTGGAGCTGGAGTTGCCCCAGGTACACTGCCAGTCTGTGCCAGAACTGGGCCGGATGCCCAGGGGTTCTCAACCGCAGGCCTTGTTTTCACCACCAGCCAGGCCAGCCTTGTCTCGTTCCCAGTGGAGTCTTGGGCCAGCTCCATCCCAGGGCACCATGGTGGCAAAGAGGGTAGATGGTAGGACACAAGTCACACATCCAGCCCCATCAGCAAGCAGAGAGGCCCCTTGGTGCCCCCTCACCTCTCCTGGCTGTTCGGGGCAGGAATCCCTCTCATTTCAAGGGCCCGGTTCCATGTGTCCCTCCAGGCTGCCCAGCCCTGCATGCTCTCCCCGACTGTGCAGCCCATGGGGCACCTCCCTTTGTAGCCTTGGATGGTCAGGTATTTATGTCCATGTAGCCTCACTTTGCTTCTCGAGGGTCCCGTTCATATTTGTGTCTCTGAAGCCCGAGTTGCTTGAGGTGGAGGGTTTGGTTTATTGGAAAGAACCCAGATGGAGAGAACTGACTCAAACCCAGGCCCTGCCCTGTACAGGCTGCCCAAGACAATCTTTCAGAGCCTCAGTTTTCTCATCTGTAACACGGATAGAACAATGCTTCCCTGCATTGTTGAGAATGGTGGTGGGCATTATCAACCATATGTGTAAAGCAGCAAGCACAGGGCTTAGCACCGGGAGGAATTCAACACCTGGCAGCTCGTACGCATAATGCACATTTCGGGGCCGATTGTGCTCATATTCTCCCTCCATACATCCTGCCTCTTCTTTTAAAACCATGCTTAAGACTCACCACCTCCTGAAAGGCCTACCTAACTCTCTCCTTCCAGCTGCTTCCCCTTGCACGTGTGTGTGTGTGTGTGTCTGCGTATTCGTGTGTTTTCTCTCCTCCAGCAAGGAGCTCTCCCTGCATGCCTAGCTCAGCATTCATTCAGTCCTTGCTGCTAGCCTCTGAGTCCAAATTTTTCACCGTGTATTCCAAGGCTTTAGAATCACATGGGGGTGTCTGTTAAATACAAATGCCTGGGCCCCACTTCAGACCTATTTAATCTGACTCTCTGGGGGCAAAAGGAGGGTACATCCCACAAATCAGTATTTTAACAAGCACCCCAGATACTTCTGAAGATGAGGCTGACTTGGTTCATAGCTCTGAGGAAGGGTTTGGATTCATTGCTCTCGCCGTGGTAGTGCTAGGACTGGGGGCCATGGGGCTCTAGGGCTCATGGTCCTACCTCCTAATCTCCAGTGTCAGCAGTCCATAGTTATTGGTGATTCGGTACTTTCCGGCAGGGAAGAGGCGGAGATCAATTCGCATGTCATTTTTGTACCTGTAGAGACACAGTGGTCTGTGGAAGGCAGTGTGATTCTGTGTGGGAAGGATCCCGAGCCTCTCAGACCTGGATTCCAACCTCGGCTTTGTGCTGCTTACCTGTGTGACCCAGGGCAGCACTTTCACTGCTCTGAACCTCAGTTTTCCTCATCTGTGAAATGGGAATAATAATTCACTGACCTTGTAGGGTTGTTGTGATAATTAAATGGGATAAGATATGTAAAGCTTGAAGGCTGTACATATCACTGGTCCCCAACCTTTTTGGCACCAGGGACTGGTTTCGTGGAAGACAATTTTTCCACAGACCGGGAGGGGTGGGGAGGGGGACGGTTCAGGGGTTGGGAACCCCTGCTGTAGATGCTCAAGGGTTCATTCTCTTCTGGAGGGCGAGAAGAGGGAGCTGTCATTAGGGGTATCTGCCCCTCCCCCTACCAGTGGTATCCCCCAAGGACCAGGCCCCAGCTTTTCCTTCCTCTCTGAAGGGGGTACCAAGGAAAGTTCCCCATCCCTACCTTCTTGTCAACCCCAAGGACAGCAGTTCTTGATCTCAGTTCTTGTTCAAATCACTAGAGGAAGCTTTAACAATCTCCATGCTCAGAGTCTGAACGTAAGCCTTTGAGAATTTGCACCAGAAACTGCTCATTGGTCTCCAGTAGCCATTCTCCCTCTTATTCTAAAGTAAATATGACATGTTTCTTAGCCTCTCTTTCTGCTAGGTGTGGCCATGTGACTAAGACTAAACTAAGTCTTGTCAGCAGAAAGTAAGTACAAGCTTCTGATGACATCCTTTGCCCCTTTTCCCATCATCTTTCCCTCCATTCTGCGGCAAGAATATAGCCATGAGGGCTGCATCTCGAACCAGGAAGGCCTGTGCCCTGAATGAGCGTGAGGGAACAGGCCTGCGTCCCTGGCAAATCTGTGGTGGAGTTGCCATAGCAGCCCTACCCTGTCTACATCAGACATTTACATGAAAGAAAAAAAAGATCTATCTTATTTAAGCCTTAAAAAAAATCTCCATGCCCAGTCTGAAGCCCAGATCAATGAAATCAGAGTTTCTGGGCATGGGACCCGGGTATCAGTAATTTTTAATATTTCCCAGGTGATTCCCGAGCATGGCCCTGCAGATCGCCCTGCCCCGCTCTACCCTGAATACTTCCTTTTGTTTTCTGTGATCTCTGGGGTCTGGTTTTCTCTGCCACAGGCACTGGACAATGAGGTGGCCTTGTGTCTGTCCACAGCCCACTGGGCTATGTTCTGGAGGCCTGAGGAGTCGGGGCTGGCGAGTGGATGTCTGTGAAAATTAGCTTGCTGTGTGACCTTGGGCAAATCAGTCCCCCTCTCTGGGCCTCTGTGTCCATGAGAACTTTGCATGAAAAGTCAGCCCCAGTGGTGGCTGAGTTCAAAGAGGAGGCCTTGGCCAAGAGAGGGCACCCCAACCTCAGTACATCACCTTCCTTGGACAGCACCCCCCCACCGCCCCGTTTGTCTCCATGGCAACCAAACAGTGCTGTGCCTACGCCCCACTACACAGCCCCCAGGCTGTGACCTCTTCTGAAAGGAGCCCAACTAAGTCTCCTGTGGGGAGGATGGTGCCTAATCTGCGTGCCCAATCTTTCCACATCTCCCAGGCCTGGGGGCCAAGGTCAGCCCCACCCACCCACCAGCTGTCAGGAACATTCCAGACAACTCAGCCTGGCCAGCTTTCTGCCTTTCCCAGAAAAAGCAGCAGCTGCAGCTCTGGGCACAACCTGGGCAGCCAGAGACCTGAGGTCTCATTTTGCCCCGCTCTGGGCTTCAGTCTCCTGCCTGTACGGCAGGCCCTTGAAGGATGAGGCTGAATGGCAGCCAGTCATAAAACAGCATTAAGTGAGACAGCTAAGGTGAGGCACCCAGCCTAGAGCCTGGCTCAGAGAGGCCCACATAAAAGAGTGAGATTTTTATTATTTTTCTAGGTTTATTTTCCCCCTACATATTCTGGTGTTTCTCCCCCCTCCCCCGCTTTATTTTTTTAATTTTTAATTTTTTGGCCATGCGGCTTGTGGGATCTTAGTTCCCCCACCAGGGATCGAACCTAGGCCCCTGGCAGTGAAAGCGCTGAGTCGTAACCACTGGACAGCCAGGGAATTCCCCATATTTTGGTGTGAGATTTTACTTTTGAAGGCTACTTGGCCTGGGAGAGTGATTCTGACATTAATGAATTGTGGCCAGGGCCCACTTCTGCAGTACAAACATAGCCAGCCTGGGCCTTGCCTAACTCGCCCTGAAGTTGCCCCTGCATTCAGGAAGTGCTCAATAATTGGTGAATGAATGGACTCGCCTGACAAGCCTGGGCAGCCA